GGAGCCTTAATCCATATTGTAGGCTGCAGTCCTTGACACTCTGCAGCAGGCACTTCAGGTCCTCTTCAGTTTCAGCAAGCAGGGTTGTAATGTAAAGATAGGCCTAAAAAAATTAAAAACTGAAACTGGAGGTCTTTGGAACACTTAGAGTCTCTTAAAGCAAATTAATTCCCTTGTTCTTAAAAGAGTATTTTTTTTATATGTTAGTGATTTTGCTGTCTTGAACTTTATTTGGTCTGTTATTCTATGAAATTTTCAGCATGCCAAAATGAGACATTTTCAGTGTTCAAATTTCATATTTGATTATCCTGTTCCCTGAACAAAAGGAATTTTCCTCCATTGCTCAGACTCACAACTTTAGTTTATTGAGTATTTCTTGCTATCTTGGATGAGTTATTGCTGATGATTGATTAGTCCACTTTTTTTTAACCTTCATAAAATTCTATGAAGTAATAAATTACTTAGCTTTTCTTTATAATACAACTTTTGAAAGAGAAGAGTGAAGTCAGCCAATATAAAAGCCAAAGCCTTTTCCTTTAAGTCAGTTTTTATTCATAGTGACTATAAGACAGTAGACCTGCCGCAACAGAGGTGCCAGGCTTGTTGTTTTCATGACAGAATACTGCCACATCTTTTCCCCACAGAGTAGACTTTATAATTAGCAGCCAAGTACTTATTCTCTGTGCATCCAGAGTTCTTCATGCCAGAAGAGAGTTTTTAAAAAAAAAACCCCTGTAGGGGTGTTCTGCTTTGTCTCATGAGGCCACTCTGATCCAGGAATCAGTCCAGTGGCTCCTAATCATGTTACTACCCCCAATATGCTTAGGAATGAGAAGGAAAGCTACAAAGAGAAATCTTCAAATTATGAACAAATTCTGAACATAATGTCAGCCTCTATGTCTAATTTGTACGTAAGTCAGAACAAATGGTTTCTAACATAAACTAGTAAAATGTGTGTTTTGGAATATAGTATACAGTTTTTTGCATTGAAAACCACTTCTCTTTACTTTAGAACAATAATACTTGGGAGCTTTGGTGGCCTAGTGGCGGGAAGCTGCACTAAAATCTCAGAGGCGTATGGTTCAATTCCACCAGATGCTGTGCTGGAGAGGAGGAGGCAGATCCAATTTGATGGTGCACACGCAAAAAATAATGAAATAAAATAAAAATTGAAAATAATAATAATACTTACGGAGAAGCAATATAGCTTTGACATACTCTTTTACTAATTTTAAACCATGCCTTATCCCCTTGTTCCGTACTAACAATTGCTATTTTTTTGGAGTACAATTAAGTGTTCTGAAAGTCCCTTTCCTTTCATTGTTTATCATAATTTGTTATGATCCATATCATTGAATTCCTTTGCATGATTATAAATAGGTAAGCATTTTTTTTTTTAGTATTCCTGCTTTTGGTAAAGATCTGTTGATTTATCTTAACATCACTCAGTATTCTTCATATAAAATGTTTCCATATTGCAATATGAGGCTTGACTTACTTTCAAATTATTTTCAGTTTGAGAAATGCTGAGCAGATACTTCACTTTTGTTTTTCTAACTTTAGATCTTTGCACATTTTGTTTTAATATTTTACTTTGTTTTCTCAGGCTGCCCTTTGAAATATTTTTAACTCTTTTCATCATTTATTCCTTCTACTTAAACTTATCTACCTTCAAAAGCAAGTTTCAGAGTTTCTTTTAACATCTGTTTTGATTTTATTTCCTGTCTTTTTAATGACCTTTTCCTGTCTTCATGTGTGATATTCCTAATTCCTTGATGTCATCCCACAACTTATCTGATCTTCATATGTGCCATCACAATTAGAAGAAGACTCATCAAAATCTCACAATATGCATATGAGATAACTTTGCCTGCAAAAAGTTAAGAAGACTTAAAGCACTTATTGAAGATCAAAGACTATGGCCTTCAATATGAAATATACTTCACCATCCAGTAACAGAAATCTCCAATGACCAATAGGCAACATCACAATAGAGAAAAGATTGAAGTTGTCAAGAAATCAAAAGACATGTTGCATAGGATATATCTGCTGTCAAAGATGACAATGTTATGTGCCACTGATTACGATCTACTCCAGCCTGTAACTGCCCTGTGTACAGCAGTTCAGAAAATTCTCCTGTGCCATCCTCACAGTCTCCACAGTACTCAAGCTGCCAGTTCATTCTTTTGAGAGTCTTCCTGACACTCCATGTATCCAAACAGAATATCTTTTTTTTTAGGACTGCCTAGTCCTGACAACATCCCTGAAGTCTGTGAGGCAAAGTTTTATCATCTTTCACTCTAAAGAACACCCTGGCTGTACTTTTGAAACTATTTCTTCTCTAGGGGAGTCCATTGTTGTTAATGTGCTGGTGAGTCAAAACTAACTCATTAGGAAATTGCCTATCTTTTTCCCACACAGCTACTCGTGGATTTGGATCACGAGCCTTTGTGTTAGCAGCACAACTCCTTATTACTAAGTCACCAGAGCTATTGGAAGTCCGTGATATATTCTTCACCAACATGCCAATTTAAAGGCATCAGGTTTTCCTCAGTCTTCCTTATTAATGGTCAAACTTTAATATGTACCTGAGGCAATTGAAAATACTGCGGCTTGGGTCATGCTTTTCTTCGACTTTAAACAAACATCTTTACTCTTTAGCACTTTAAACAAGACTGTGACTTCACTTTTCCCCGGCACAGTAATTTGTTTAATTTCATCACTGCTGCTTCCTTGGATCTTGATTGTGGACTCGAGTAGAATTATATCATTGACAATTTGTTTTATATTTTTCTGTTATTTATTGGTCTAAATTGTGAGGATTTTTGTTTTCATCATGTTGAGGTGTAATCCATACTGATGGTATTAGTCTTTGCTATTCAATAATTATTCCAAATGTCTGCTTTCAGCAAGCAAGATTGTTTCATTTTCTTAATGCAGGTTGTTAAATCCTCCTGCAGCCATGATGCTACAGTCTTCTTATATAGCCTAGCTTCTTGGATTATTACTCTGTATTCAAATTGAGTGTGTATGGTGAAAAGATTTCACTCTGAAACACATCTTTCCTGATTTTAAAGTGTGACCTATTATTTTTGCTTCTTGATCTATGCAAAGCTTCCATATGAGCACAATAAATATCCTAGTGTATTTATTCTTCTCAGAGTTATCCATAACATATCTGTTTCTGTACTTTGTATCCTTATGTGTGTAGACTTAGCCATAGATGTATTATCAAACTCATCTTCATAGCCCTGGAGTCAGAACCAACTCATAGCTAACCCTGCATTGAATTTCCAAGACTGTAAATTGCACAGAGGATATTGCCCAACTTTCAATGTTTGTATATTATAGGAAATATAGTAAACAGATACCAGCATATAAAAAGAATAAATGTATTTAAAAATGTAATGACTCAGAATTTTCCCAATCATATATAACCTTTTGTTAATATTTTAATTAATTGTATCATGTATTATGTGATTTTTTTTTTTACTTATAGGAATTTATATGTAAGACTTTGATTTTCATTTATTGGTTTTGAATTTTTTCAAGTCCAGGTAATGCTGTTATCTAATGCTTATACACTTCTGTTGTATGCTATAATGTAAAAGTTGCATACTGGTTCATATAATACACATTTTCCTGTGTTGTAAAATAATGTGTAAAACATGGTTTATAATAGCAGCATGTTGTTATGTGCCGTCGAGTCTCTTGCGACTCATAGCAACCCTATGTACAACAGCCCTAAACTCTGCTCTGTCCTGTGCCAATCGCACTATCTCTGACACTCCCATCCCGATTATCCCAGTCACTGAATCAATCCACCTCATAGAGGTCATAGAGGGCCTTCCCCTCCTGCGCTGTCCCTCCACTCTCCCAAGCATGATGTCCTTCTCCAAGGACTGGTCCCTCCTTACAACATGTCCAAAGTATGTTAGACGGAGCCTCAGAATCCTTGCCTCCAAGGAGCCAACCAGTTTAACCTTTTCTAGGACAAATCTGTTTGTTTTCTTAGCAGTCCATGGTATTCTCAATACTCTTCTCCAGCACTATAGCTCAAAGGCATCAATTCTCCTTCTATCCTTCTTAGTCATTGTCCAACTCTCTGATGCATAACAAGTGATTGTGAAGACCATGGCCTATATCAAACGCACTTTAGTCTCCAGAAAGACACCATTGCTCCTCAGCACTTTGGAGGGGTCCCTAACAGCAGACTTTCCCATGGCAATGTGCCTTTTAATTTCCTGGCTACTGGTGTCAAGAGTGTTGACTGTGGAACCAAGCAAACTAAGCTGTGTACAATCTCAATCTCTTCACCATCCTGTGATTAATACAAGTGTTGGGGTTTGTTGTTGTTGTTGTTGTTGTTTAATTTTATTTTTTATTTTAATGAAAGTTTACAAGGACTTTGGATTTCCATCCATTCATTCATTGTTACGCACTTTGCTCCCTGCCCACTCTGTACCCCAAGTTCTCTTTTCTCTTTGAAAAGTTAAAAAAAAAATTATTTTATCCCCCCTTGCCCAGTCCACTCCACTATTCAGCTTTTATTCCAGGCTCTTGTCATGACAGTAATACCTAATCATATATTCCTCCTAAACAATTTTCTCCCTCATCTGTTTCAATGCAGTATACATTTTTTATCCCCTCTTAATTTCCTCCCTACTCCAGTGCCAGACCTGCTTTACAACAGTGGCACTATGCAGTATTTGTCCATTTGTGACAGATATTTCACTCAGCATAATGTCTTCCAGAGTCACCCATTCTGCATAAAGTTTCATGAGTTTTTTGTTTTTCAGTGCAGCAGAATATTACATTGTGTTAATATACCAAAGCTTCTCTACTCATTCTTTGTTGCTGGGCACTTGGGTTGTTTCCATCTCTTTGCTATTGTGAAAAAAGCTGCAATAAATATGGGTGTGCATATATCTTCTTAGGTGGCAGTTATGGTTTTTTTAGAATATATTATCGGTAGTGGAATTGCTGGATCAAATGGAATTTCTATTTGCAACTTTTTGAGAAAGCGCCATATTGCTTTCCATAGTTATTTATACTCCCACCAACAATGAGTAAGGGTTCCCGTTTCTCCGCAATCTCGCCAGCATTTGTTGTTTGCTATTTTGTTGAATTTTGCTGTTCTTGCTGGAGATGATATTTCATAGTTGTTGTTGTTTTTTTGAAATAATTTTTATTTATTTATTTTATGTGTGTACCGTCAAATTGGATCTGACTGGTATAGGAGGTGATTGTTCCTCCTTCTTCAGCAGAGCATCTGGTGGACTTGAACTGCGCACCTCTGGGATTGCAGTGCCGTTTCCTGCCACTAGGCCACCAGAGCTCACCCTCATAGTTGTTTTGATTTACATCTTTCTTAGAGCTAGGGATTTTGAACATTTCTTCATGTGTTTGTTCACCATCTGAATGTCTTCTTGGTGAAGTGTCTGTTTATGTCCTGTGCCCATTTTTCATTTGGGTTGTTTTCCTTTATCTTGTTATTGTACTCAAGTATTAGATAAATTCTAGATATAAGACCCTTATCAGACACGTCTACCAAATATTTTTCCCGGTCTGTGGCTTCCCTTTTTACCCTGTTGGAGAAGTTTTGGGATGTGCACAGGGATTTGCTTCTTAGAAGATCCCATTCATCTATTTTATCCTTTCCTGGTTGTAGATTTTTCAGGATGCTTGGAAGACTGTTTTAAGTTGTGGATTAGGGCTTCTAGGTTTCTTTCAAGCTTTTCTCTAATGAAGTTTATAGTCCTTGGTTTTAATCTTGATCCACTTTGAGTTGGTTTTTGTATATGGAGTAAGGTATAGGTCTTGCTTGAGTTTTCTACAGATAGTTTTCCAACTTTGCCAACACCAGTTTTTAAAAAGGCTATTATTTCCCGACTTAACTAATTTTATCTCCTTGTCAAAAATCAGTTGACCATGGGTAGATGAGCTGATTTCTGGATTCTCAATTCTATTCCATTGATCTATATATCTGTCATTGTACCCATACCGTGCTGTCTTGACCACCCCAGCATTGTAGTAGGATTTGAAATCAGGGAGTAAGATGCCTCCTACTTTGTTTCTCTTTTTAAGGAGTGATTTAATTTGTGGCCTCTTTCCATTCCAGATGAAATTGGAGATTGCCTTTTCCATCTCGTTGAAGAATGAAAAACGTATTTTTATGGGAATTTCACTGAATGCATAAATTGTCTTTGGTAGTATTGTCATTTTCACAATATTTTGAGTCTTCCTATCCATCAACAAGGTATAGTCTTCCATTTCTCCAGGTCTCTTTGTTTCTTGTAGTAATGCTTTGTAAGTCTCTTCGACTAGATCCCCTTGTGCTTCTAGTTAGATTTATTCCCAAGTATTTAGTCTTTGATTAACTATGGTGAAGGGTATTGTTTTCCTTACAGAGCTCCAGTTCTGTATTCTCTTTATCGCTGTAGAGAAATTTAATTTCTTTTTGTATGTTGGTCTTGTATCCTGCCACTTTGCTGAATTGGTCAACTCTGTCCAGTAGGTTTCTTGCTGAATCTTTAGGGTTTTCTAAGTATACTATCATAGCATCAGCATATAAAGATAATTTTACCTCCTCTTTGCCGATATGGACACCTCTTATTTCCTTCTCTTGTCTTTTTGCTGTGTCTAAGACTTCCAATACAATAATGAGTAGGAGAGGTGATAAGAGAGCATCCTTGCCTAGTTCCTGTTCTCAAAGGGAATGGCTTTAATCTCTCTCCATTGAGAGAGATGTTCTCCATTGAGAACAATGTTGGCTCTGGGTTTTGCATATATACTTTTTTTTTTTGCTGTACTGAAGAAATTCGCCTTTAATCCTACTGTGTTGCATGTTTTAATCGGGAAAAGGGTGTTAGATTTTGTCAAAGGCCTTTTCTGCATCTGTTGATAGGATCATGTGGTTCTTGTTCTTTGCTTTGTTAAGGTGATGAATAACATTGGTTGTTTTTCTTATGTTGAACCATCCTTGCATTCCTGTAATGAACCCCATTTGGTCCTGGTTAATTATTTTTTTTATAAGTCATTGGATTCTATTGGCCAGGATTTTATTCAGAATTTTTACATCAAGGTTCATGAGAGATATGGGCCTCTAGTTTCCTGTTTTGGTGGTACCCTTAACTGGCTTTGGTATCAAGGATATGTTTGCTTCATAGAATGAGTTTGGGAAAATTCCATCGTTTTCTTTTTTCTGAACTTGTTTATATAGACTTGTTGACAGCTTTTCTCTCAATGTTTGATAAAATTCACTGGTAAAACCATCTGGTCCGGGGCTTGTTTTTTTTTCTTGTTTTTTTGGGTTTTTTTGGCTAGAGGTTGTTTTATTTATTACCTTTTCTATTTCTT